ATTTTTAACCTAATTTTGGAAAGGAAAAAGAAATCCTGAATCTAGTGACATTGGATCTCAGTCAGTGGTGGGTTGCTGTGGGTACGGACCGGTACAGCCATACCGGTAGTAGCCGGGAGCAGCTGAGAGCGTACTGGTATGGTGGCTCGTTTGGCCCACCCGCCCGCCCACGCTTTATAGCGTGGGAAACGGCAAAGTGGTCACGCACACACAGCGTGCTGCGTCTGCGCAAGCCCCATCAAGCAGCTGGTTGCTGCAGGGGTGGTGGATTGCACATGTGTGCGCAGCACACATCAGATGCATGCACGAACAGACCAAAAGCAGAGTACCGGTAGCGACGGTAAGAGTAACCCACCACTGAGTATGTGATCTCTTAAAAAACGGTTGATCGGGAATCTCATAATTCTGTTGATTGGTCAAAAGGTTCTTGTGTTGAAATAAAATCCAGGCCTTAGCAAGTTGGGATGACCCGGGGCATGGCCCAGAGATAGCACAAGCAGCTGAAAGTTGAAACCACCCTTTTATTGCTCCAAATTTCCCCAAACGCTCCCACGTTCCTGGCAAATCCCAGAGAAAAGTGATCTCTCCATCTCCCCCCCTCTCTCCCTCTCTCCCTCTCTCTCTCTCTCTCCCTCTCCCCCATCTCTCCCTCCCTCCCTCCCTCCCTCCCTCTCTCTCTCACACACACACACCTCAAGCAGCCTCTGGCTGCAAATAGTCCAGCCCAGTGGTGGGTTTCAAAAAATTGTGGAACCTCTTCTGTAGGTGTGGCCTGCTTTCCGGGTCCAGTGGTGGAGCCTCTTCTAACCGGTTCGGTAGATTTGACAAGCCGTTTCTTCTCTCCTACTCCCCTTCCTTCCCTCCCTCCTTCCCCTTCCCTCCTTCTCTCCTTCCCTCCTTTCTTTTCTCCTTCTCTCCTTCCTTTCCCCCTTCCTTTCCTCCTTCCTTCCCCCCTTCCTTCTCTCCTACATTCCCTCCTTTCTTCTCTCCTTCTCGAAGGAACGAGGGAAGGAAAGAGGGAGGGAGGGAAGAAGAAGTAGGATCGTTGTAAGATAAGATGGATCTATGGGATGTTAAAAAAGCAATCTTCAAGTATATTGTCAACAGTAGGGAAAAATGGTTATAAATACATATTATTAATAACAGTTATGAGATCATATAATTGTGAATGTATATATGAAATTGATAAAATTAAAATAATTAAAAAAATAAATAAATTAAATGACAAAAAAAAACCATATTAAGGGGAAAAAAAAGATTTGACAAGCCGGTTCTATTGAACCGGTGCGAACCGGTAGGAACCCACCTCTGGTCCAGCCCAGTGCTGTGTACACCAAGGCTGCAGAGCAATAAATCCATCAGGGCCAATCAAGGAGTTCAGGAAGCAAAGGATCCAGTTAATTAGTCCATAAAGCCAGGAAGAATGGAAGGACTCTTGGAAAGTTCAAATGTTGCCACACTCAACAAACCATGAATTCAGTGTTTGTTTCTGACAAATGCCCCTCCCCATAGTGTGGGGAGTCTCATTCCCCAGGTGCGCCTTGTGAAGATGGGCAGGGTGCTCTTCTCCCGAGTAGCCTGCTCAGGCTGCACTGTTCTCGCCTTCTCTCCACTCTCCATGCTCTCAGATCAGGAGTGGGTGGGCCTTCTCCATGCCTGAGCTCAGTCTCTCGTGTTCATCCTGCCCCTGTTCCTCTCTGACTACAAGCCGTTCTAATCCTGAAAGGCCCAGGCCCTGCCCTTCCCCATTTTCCTCCCAAGCCAACAAAGCCCCCCCCCCCCAATATCTGTCACCTCAGGTTCCAGCTCGTTTCCCCCACATATTCAGGCTCCAACGGGGGCATGACACAGGTTTTGTGGAAAGTTCCATAAGAAATCACAAGTCTATGAGCTGAGTGTATGATAAAACCACAAGGTGCATGTCAGGTTTCCGAAAGATGCCCTAATTAACTTATGAGCCTCAAGCCAAGTTTCAAAAGAAATCCAGTCATTTATTAGCAGCAAAATCTCGGCAATACCTGCGTGGAGTCAGATCTAATTTCAGTTTAATGATGGTTGAACTTTACCCCTGTGTCTCCCCTCCCCTCAGTCTGTGTCATAAATCACATTCAGCAATGAAGTGCTGCAGCAGGTTGTAAAATGTCGGCGTCTCACACACCTGCTGTAGTAATCTGTGATCCAACTCTAGCTGCGTGGAACTCTCTCTCCCTTTCCTCCAATGTTGACAGCGCATGCACAAGTAGTTTTGTAACTACTACATCTTATCTACTGTATGCCATCTTCCTCTTACGTAACCAAGTAAAAATTACACAGAGAGAGAGAGAGAGACAGACACACATCCTCACCTGACCTCAGAGACCCGAATGCTGACATGTCTCCTATGTGTTTTGATTGTGATAGTAAACAACAACAAAAAAGCATTTGTTCTCCTACTAGGTGGATCTAAAGACATTGTTCTCTTCCCTTCCTCTATCATTTCCCTCTCTGAGTAGAGAAGTGATGTGCTTTCAATTGCGCCAGATGATAATGCGTTGGTGTTAATGTTTCTTTGGCAGTCGCTCAGGAAATTAATTAACATGGCGCTCGCTAAATGGAAATATGACAATTTGCTGTAGCTTTCATTTTCATTTCTGCTAGTGCCTTTCATCATCCTTTGCTTTTAATCTCATGGTTATTCTCATAACTTCCCAGGATGATTTTTGCATGCAAATTAGATATTAGAAGCAACATCCTTTTGGGGTTACCAGTTGAGAGAAAGGAGGGGCGTAAAACATTGTTTTATCACCAATTTCCCCTCCAATTCTGGAGCCCTTTTGCTAAAGGTAAAAATTCCCCTCATACATATGTACTAGTCATTCCCGACTCTAGGGGGCGGTGCTCATCTCCGTTTCAAAGCCAAAGAGCCAGCGCTGTCTGAAGACGACTCCGTGGTCATGTGGCCGGCATGACTCAACACCGAAGGCGCACGGAACGCTGTTACCTTCCCACCAAAGGTGGTTCCTGTTTTTCTACTTGCATTTTTACATGCTAGCTTGGCAGAAGCTGGGACAAGCAACGGGAGCTTTCTCTGTTACGCAGTACTAGGGATTCGAACCACCGAACTGCCAACCTTTCTGATCGACAAGCTCAGCATCTTAGCCACTGAGCCACCTCTATCATCAATTTCACCTATCATCAATTTCGCCAATTATAATCAATTTCACTGCATCATCAATTTCTCCTATAATCCTAGAGTTCGGTTGCTACTCGGTTTCCCGGGCCATCAAACCTGAAAACTCATGGCACCAACATCTCACCTTCTTTGTGGCACGAAACTCATAAAAAAGTGTAACGCGTACAGTGGATACTACATCCAAAAGTAGCAGATGACTTATCCCAGTGGTTTTATGTAGCTGTTAGAAAACCCAGGGATCAAATGTATTGGCAACCCTAAAGCAGCCTTCCCCACCTACTAGAATTGCAAAATTTAAAGGAGGAGTGGAACCACAACAGAGAAGAACGAAGTCTCAATTTCCCAAATCTCACAAGAGATTAGATGGTTGATAGTCCTGAAGAAGACAGTTCAATGAGGTGGGGAAGAGATCACGATTGTCAACCAAATGCTGAGAAAGGTAGAAAGATGATGAAGGGACTGGAGGCTAAAACATACGATGAATGGTTGCAGGATGGCTAGTCTAGTGAAGAGAAGGACCAGGGGAGACATGAGAGCATCCTTCCAATATTTGAAGGGCTGCCACAGAGAGGAGGGGATCAAGCTATTTTCCAAAGCACCTGAACACAAGGAATAATGGATGGAAACTGGTCAAGGAGACAAGCAACTTGAAACTAAGGAGGAATTTCCTGACAGTGAGAACAATAAACCCATGGAACAGAGGTTTCCTTCAGAAGTTGTGGGAGCTTCATCACTGGAAGTTTACAAGAAGATATTGGACCACCATCTGTGGTGCAATGGTGTAGGGCCTCCTGCCTGGGTGGAGGTTTATTTATTTATTAGACTTATATACCGCTTCATAGGGCTTTCAGCCCTTTCTAAGCGGTTTACAATTTTTTTAGCAA